GATGATGATGATGATGATAAGGTGTAGCTTTTGTTGATGGTGATAATGATGACGAGATGGACAGTTGTTGGTACTGCTCTCGTTGTTGATGGCAGTGATGATGATGATGATGCATTTCTTTTTGTCTTTGTTTCGGTTCTGGAGGATAATTACGATGATGGCTATGTGGTTTGTAGTTGTGTAGATGATGATCACGAAATGTTATTTTTGTTCATGATGACAGTAATGATTTTGTTKCTTTTTTCTCAAGTAAAAACATTTACACCAATGAACATCTCTCTCTTTTAACCAACGAGCAAGATTTCATTCCACTCATCAAAAATATTTTAACGTCTTCATCTCATCGTTATCGTTCCCCACACTACAAGCAGCGGCCACAAGACTTGTTTGTCATCCGTTCGTCATGCAATTTTTTAACAAACCGTGTTGAATCGAGATACTATCTACCTCGATCGGTAGGTCCAGTTCCGGACTTTGTTTCCAACGACCCGTGCMATGGCAGCCCATATCTTCAATAACATCATTCAACAAAGAAATTCAAACTGAGCAAAGCKATGACTAATTATTTTGAGTGATATTTATTCGCTGGTCGGGAAATGTATTTACATTCGCCTGCAACCTTATTTTTGTTTCCAGTGGCACCCGCAAACCTTATTATTTATCCCTCGTTWAACCATATTAACCATACGTATTGATCGAGGTTTTAAGCACAAGTGAATTTGTTATGAAATCACCCGATCTTCAAATCCGCAAATGTGACCGCAAGACCAGATGGGTAAAACAAGTTATGACTAAGAATAGGCATTGCGCATGCTAATTGCACGACTCAGTGGCTTATACAGAGCTTTGAGCCGGGGTTTTCCTGTGCGAGAATAACATCAAACCAGGTGTTAGTTTTGACACTCTTGAGTATCAGTTCAAAATCCCTTACACCGAGAGAGCAAGTTAAAAAATCTTTGGAAGAAAACATTTCATAGGATTACCTGGTAATTCAAAGTTTGATGCTCTTTTATTATTCTAATTTTATCAATGTAATGATTCCGAAGTAACTCCCCCGCTGCTGTAGCTCCACACACTGTCTCCACTCACCGCTACAACTCTTCCATTTCGACGAAGCGCTTTCTCAGGAACAAGACTTTCGCTCAAGCCCTGGATTTGCCAARCGTATGTGACTCTTGTAAACATCTTCGACGCTAAAAAAGTTAGTATATATGTATGTAATACCTTACAATTGAAGTGAATTTAAATTATTTTATAGTTTGTTTATAGACGTGGTAGCGGGGAATTGTTCTGTGAATTTCCTTTATTTCAGACTATTTTGAAAATCGATAGCAACATCTGCTTGCAATTCTGTTTCTTTTTCAAAACAGCTCGAAAACAAAGGAATAAATGGGAGTGAGGAAAAAAAAAGATTTCCCCCGAAAACTTTTATTGAATTAAGAAAATYATCATCGCGTGAATCACATTTCATGAAATTTTAATGAAACGATATAAGAAACAGATCCCTTTATTTTTGACAATTCTACTTCACTTTGATTCTATGTTTTTATTTTCAAGAATGTGGTTTGGTTCAGGGAACCAGCGATTTTCATCGGCCCTATTTTTAGTGTTGTTTGTTTCGTTTGCAGACAATKCGACTACATTATAATACCAGAAAAAATAATTAATAGACAACTAGTTAATTTTTGGCATTTCTTAAATTTCCATCTGATAAATTGGACATCAGAGTAGCCGTCGTAAAGTGTTTCGATCATCTATTTATATAAATAACTTGTTGTTTTTTTCAYGCCGGCTTGGTTAGTTTTAAAACAATGAAGGTCTCTTACGTTGGAGGCAAATTTATATGCAAAGTTTTTGTCGGCTTCTTGCATTGTCATCGATCACTCRAACAAAAGGAAAAGTAATAAAGTAAATGTTTTTGTAAAAAAATTAGTCATTTGTATAGTAATGTTTTATCAATTCGTATTTGTTAGATCAAGTGTATTGATAAACCTGAAGAGAAAAGAGAGAGAGGGAGAGAACGAATGAATCACATATATTTTACCACGGTAATAACATCAATGTACAGTGACATTGCTTTTCACGAAAGCCGTGAAATAAAAGTCGAACTATAATTATAAAAAATTAAAATTCATAAATGTATATATACAGTCAATGTCATTAACGTTGTCCACCGAAAAAAGAYATTTACACATTTACACATTTAGACTAAAGATATATCACGTGTTTCATTATGTAGTCTTTGCCTCGTGTGCGTCAGCCTGAACTTTAAATGTAAAATTCAGCTCGTGAATCGAAAATCCAGAATGCCCCGACCATTTAGTGAGGATTTAAGATGGAGAATGGTATTTCAGCATTTGTTTTATGCCAGAACCTTCGAGGAAACATGTGATATTTCTTTTAGTCTAAATGTGTAAATGTCTTTTTTTGGTGGACAACATTAATGACATTGACTGTATAATATAAAAACTCATTATTCGTAATAACTTTTCGAAATAAATTACTGATATAGATTAAAATGAAAGTCCTTTATCTTGCTTTTAATTCATGTAATGATTTGGATTCGGCTTTGATGTAAGACCCTTGCAAAACGAGGAAACATGTTTCCAGAAACATATTTACCGCGCGCATGTTTCCTCGATGTTTCCCAGTTTAGCYACATGCGAAACATTGCTGCGTGCAACAAATTTTGCTTCCAAGACGCAAAAAATGTGTTTGCTGTGCGACAGAAACATTTCATGTTTTCAAGACGCATGGAAACATTGTTTCCCGATGTTTCCTGACAGTTTTGCCACCTTAGGAAACATTTAAGGAAACATGTTTCCTCGTTTAGCCAGGGTCTAAGACGGCAAGCATGCGCAGTTCCAAWTTTTTGCACCAACATATCGGAAGCTTCGTTTTAGTGAGTCTGTGTTTGGCTTAGGAAGTGTTAATTTATGATCCAAACCTCTTAGATTATAATGTGTAGTATCACTCGCTAAATTGTAATCAGTTATTAGATATGAAGGTGCTTTATTATTCATGATATTATACATCATACAAGCCGTATGCTTTGCCCACCACGAAGTCTCCATCAATTATAAAACTGCTTTACATGAAAGTTGTGTAATAATAAATATTATAAACCTCATGAATAATTAATGAGGAAAACACAATAGAAATCATTGTCCCTGGAGGAGATTGTATATCTGATACAAAATCGTCCTGATTTGCATAAACTTTAACTCCAATTTTCTTAGCCAAATTCAATTTTATCTTTAAAATTATAGTAGAACATGAATGTATACACCTAGACGTTTCATAAGTAATATACGATATTCGTGTCCGTGTTGTATCAGATATACAATCACTCGCCTTCGGCTCGGGGTTGTATATCTGATACAACACGGCCACTCATCTTGTATATATTACTTATAATACTAACTACTATAGGAAAATAGTCTATACATGTACATATACTATTACGAATACTATACAATATGAATTTGCATAAATAATAGTTACGATATAAAAGAACATTTAATATAGAAATTTATATTTTGAGTATACCGATCACTAGCTTTCATTGAGACGTATCGAGAGACAGACAGACAGACAGACACACTTTTATTTGAAAACGATAGTTCCATAAGTATAAAACTTCTTTACATGGAAGTCGTTATTGATTAATAAAATATAAATATATAATCCTAAAAAGTTGAAAAATATTAGAAATGMTTTAAATAACRAAGAGAAAAATCCTACTGGGAACTGACAGCACGCCATCTCATCAGACGTTTTTTAAATTCATTCTTTGTTGGAGCAGATTTAATTTCAGAGGGGAGAGAGTTCCACATCTTAGCCCCTCTGTAATAAAAGCTACTCCTGAAAAAGTCTGTTTTTGGGATGTATGGYATTTCAATTTGATCGTTCCCTCTTAATTTAGATTTATAGGTGCTCGAATCCGAGGACCTCATATTAAATAAATTGCTTAAATACGATGGGCAATTTTCATGGAGAACGTCAAACATGAATGAACACAGTCTTTCCTCTCGTCTTTCTTTCAATTTGTCCCAGTTTAACTGTTGCAAAATGTCAGCAGACTTCACATCATAACCCTGATAGGTTATGATGCGAGCAGCTCTGTTTTGAAGCTTTTGAAGACGTTCTGCTTGACCCTTGTTCAAATTGCTCCAAACAAGGTCGCAGTAGTCAAACGTGGGCTGTATTAATGCTTTATACATTGTAATAAGGGTAGAAATTGGAACAAAATCTCGAATTTGTTTTAAACCGTAGATCGACTTGCCAACCTTCTTACAAATTTGTTCAATATGTGTATTCCAATTTAGGTTTTGGTCAATATAGACCCCAAGATGTTTAAGTGAACTAACTTTCTTGATGCCTGAACCATTAATCTCTATAGGTGCAAAACTGCCAAGACTCGAAATTTTAAATCTAGAGCCTATCAACATGTATTCAGATTTTACCACATTCAGACTAAGTTTGTTAGCCAATAACCAGACACTGATCTTCCTTAAATCAGAGTTAACCTTTCTTTGAAGTTCAGTGRCTGACTTTGCTGCAAAACTTACCAACGTGTCATCTGCATACAAGCGAGGTTTGGTATAGTCGAGGCAACATGGAATGTCATTTATGTATATTATAAACAGTAATGGTCCTAATATTAAACCTTGTGGAACGCCACAAGAAATGGATCTTGGTTTAGAAATTGAGTTTTCAACTACACAACTTGGCATTCTATCGTGTAAATATGATTTGAAAAATTCTAGACTTATCCCATTAATTCCATAGTATTGAAGTTTGGATATTAAGATTTGATGTGATACGGAATCAAAGGCTTTAGCTAGATCTAAGGCTAGATCTAAGAGAGAGAGAGAGAGAGAGAGAGAGAGAGAGAAGAGAAAAGACAACAGAAAAAAAAAAGTAAAGGGAAAAGACGGGGAAAAGACAAAGAAATAATAATTAATATCTGCGAGTTTACTCCTCTTTTCCATTAAATGAAATTTATCGCACTTTAATATTTCTAGCTAAGCTAAGCTAATTATAATATATATATTATAAAAGCTCAATGAAGCCATATTGTTTATGGCCCAAAAATGTTATCCAATAATCAAAGGCTTCGCATAGTTCCTTTAAGAAGGCTTCAACATTTGATTAAGACCACTCATTAGATTTACCTATGTAYATAGTGCCTTGCGTACATGTTTCATGTTTCTACTTGTAATTCRGTCCCGCCTTTTTTTCCCTTATGTATTATCACATAACTTGATATTTTTTGCATTAAAAGCGGGTTTGGGGATTTTATCCTGTAGTCACTTATCCCCAAGACATGTGTGCTTATTTACGCTCCGGCCCAGTAAACGAGGTCAATTAACACTGTAGCTGAATAATTTAGGATTAGAAGCTTGGAAGCATATAGAGTACAGAATCMATATGTATGAGCCTCGCTCTTTTTATTAAAAAAATGAACATATATAATTATTATTTYAAAGTTTTAAATATTGTTTCAAAGAAATTATAGGAAAATTTCGCTTGGTTATTTTTAAGCTTTCTTTGTACACTAATATTTTTTAATACATAATTTCTTGAATTCTTATTTTTCGCTTTGTTCCTTTTTTCTTTTCTTTTTCCAAAAATTATCTTTTGAAAAAGGGTAGTATCTAAGAGTGTTTTTCAAACTATTTATATTTATTTATTACTAATAATCAGTTACATATTATTTTTAGTAGCGGCAAATTTCATATACCTATATATACATCTGCTTTTTTTTTCTTTYTATTTTAGGCGGAGATATTTTGCTTTCTTTTCAAGTTACAAAACGAARCGATATTCAGTGTTCTTTTGAAACTTGCCCGGCAGTATGGCTAGAAACAGTGATCAATATCTTTGATATCTAGATTACAATCTCAATCGTTCGAATAGCAACTTTCCCTGCCTAAAAGCTCTTTTTGAAGATAAGAAAAGAAAAAAAATCGGGTTCTGTTGGTTAGTTTGAGAGGTAATGTGATCGTTCTGTTATCGTAAATCATTTACTGCTCGTTGTAAAATTCTGGAAGAAAGATTTATAGCAAAGCGAAGATGTAAACATGGTCTGTGATTGATGTTTATGTCACAACAGACACTTGGTCAATATTCAACCTCTCGACTAAGCTTTGCGTGAGTTAAAAAAATGATTTCTGACAAGTAAGTTATGTATGTATT